ATCCTTTAGTACCAGCTGACTATCCTGTTACATTGTACTTCCCAACATAGTTTTAATTGGCATATTGAATACTTTTTTACATTGAACGAAGTAACTGCATTTAACAAGAAAGTTTTGCAAACATTAATAGAAACGGTCAAATTGATTCAGTTGTGAGAAATTCGTTTTGAAATTAAATTTTTTTACTTAAATGAAATATTTGCCTCTGACAGAAAATTCAAAAACTAGGTAAATCGAACAATGCAGAAAAAACGAGAGAGATATCACGTAATAATAATAATAATAATAATAATAATAATAATAATAATAATAATAATAATAATAATAATAATAATAATAATAATAATAATAATAATAATAATAATAATAATAATAATAATAATAATAATAATAATAATAATAATAATAATAATAATAATAATAATAATAATAATAATAATAATAATAATAATAATAATAATAATAATAATAATAATAATAATAATAATAATAATAATAATAATAATAATAATAATAATAATAATAATAATAATAATAATAATAATAATAATAATAATAATAATAATAATAATAATAATAATAATAATAATAATAATAATAATAATAATAATAATAATAATAATAATAATAATAATAATAATAATAATAATAATAATAATAATAATAATAATAATAATAATAATAATAATAATAATAATAATAATAATAATAATAATAATAATAATAATAATAATAATAATAATAATAATAATAATAATAATAATAATAATAATAATAATAATAATAATAATAATAATAATAATAATAATAATAATAATAATAATAATAATAATAATAATAATAATAATAATAATAATAATAATAATAATAATAATAATAATAATAATAATAATAATAATAATAATAATAATAATAATAATAATAATAATAATAATAATAATAATAATAATAATAATAATAATAATAATAATAATAATAATAATAATAATAATAATAATAATAATAATAATAATAATAATAATAATAATAATAATAATAATAATAATAATAATAATAATAATAATAATAATAATAATAATAATAATAATAATAATAATAATAATAATAATAATAATAATAATAATAATAATAATAATAATAATAATAATAATAATAATAATAATAATAATAATAATAATAATAATAATAATAATAATAATAATAATAATAATAATAATAATAATAATAATAATAATAATAATAATAATAATAATAATAATAATAATAATAATAATAATAATAATAATAATAATAATAATAATAATAATAATAATAATAATAATAATAATAATAATAATAATAATAATAATAATAATAATAATAATAATAATAATAATAATAATAATAATAATAATAATAATAATAATAATAATAATAATAATAATAATAATAATAATAATAATAATAATAATAATAATAATAATAATAATAATAATAATAATAATAATAATAATAATAATAATAATAATAATAATAATAATAATAATAATAATAATAATAATAATAATAATAATAATAATAATAATAATAATAATAATAATAATAATAATAATAATAATAATAATAATAATANCTTGACTCATATTAAGCTCAATAATGAATTCTGTTTGTCTGCCGATAACCAAAATTTATCAGAAGTTGTATTTTGGTGTATCGATGAACATATTACAATATGGGTCTAATCGAAGGATACGAACACATTTTTTTTAGTACATTAATATGATTAGGACATGAAAATATCATTTTTATGGGGACTCCACTTCTTAATATGATTTTTAAGTACAAATTTGAATTCTACATCAAATTTTACATTAAAAACCATGATTCAACAATTTTTTCATATTTACCCAAGAAAATCAGAATTGCAAGCAAAATATCATCAAAAAAAGAAAATTCAACTTCAAGACCCTGAAAATCCAATAGGGTTGGACCTAGAGGGCTGAAACTTTCAGGATTTTCACTTTTCAATGTACTCTTCAAAAGTACATAATTTGAGAAAAAAAATTTTTTTGACCATCACGCTAATTATGGCTTAGCCCATATATATATATACACACATAGCAGCAGTGGCAGCCGTCAGAGATCGGAGTCGCTCAACGCCTTTTAGCTATGTATGTGTGAGTATAGGCGCGCGCATGCCTCCTCTCCTTGCGCACTGTGTACATGCACATCTGTGTGTTATGAGTATGTACGTTTGTATATGAATTTAATGCATATGTACATTGTTGTCGTTGCGATCAGGTAAGCAGGCAACGATGTGGTAGGGGAAGATCTAGCAAAGAACCGACACTGCTGCATTCACACATGCGTGCATATACTATATACAGTGGCGAGCATACGTCCTGATGGCTATGGGCGCTGTTGCCGCGCGTATCGACCGAAACTGCAGCAGCAGCAACTTGCGCTCGGGGCTCTGCCCCCGCCGTGTTGTGTCTGCCGCCTGCCTCTATAACTACATAGTAGTACATAGCAGTTTTACACTCGCGAAAGAGAGTTATTCGGATTAACTTAACTTATTTCGATAGAATGGATTCGTTCGCCTTTGACTTTTGAGCGCGCGTGCGACTTTCCGTTCCTTCAATTCAAGATGGAGCTTTTTTCTGCTCTTTAATTTTTTTCGTGCATTTTTTCAAGGAATTTCATTTTTCACCTCGTGAGACTTCATAAAAACAGACTGTTACATAAATTTTAGTTATATATAACGAAAATTCATTCAACTTTAATGAGAAATGAATTCTTCAAACTCTTTGGGTTATGATTCGAATGGCAACAACGGACCCATATGAAGCCATAGCGATATGATGAGCTTCTGGAGAATCAAACTATATCAGACCCGTCATTAGCACGAGTCGCTATATCACCTGAGTCAGCTCAGACTACGATATTGCATTGGCCTTTTTTATTCTAAATTTGTCGTCTTTTTACATGTATGCCTCGATCGACTCATTTAGACTTTCGTCTTTTGCCTATAAAGCGTGCACTTTTTCTTTATCGACCAATCTTGACTACAAAGCTTTTTGTGTGTTGATGGTGTTCTGATTCGACATCGTTTTTGCGAGTTCTTTGTGTTTTTTCGAAAAAATTTTGTTTTATTTTAAATCATAATTTTAGAACTGATCAGATCAGTATGAGTTTTTTAATTAATAATTACATATATTCTCTTACAGTATATGTATCATTTGAAATGATTCTATGTAATTAGTAAATGAGCAACTCAAAAATATAAAGTAGTGAATAATACCTATAACAAAATATATATTAAGATTTTTGCACTAGTTAAATAAATTGTTTTGAATGGACAAGATTTTGTAACAAAAATCAGAGATAAAATTTTTTATCACTTTACAAACAAGCTTGAAAATCAAGTGAAAGTTTAATCTATTGGCAAATTATTGGGAAATCCATCAAATTTATTTCTTCAGTGCAGCAATCATATACATATATGTATATTGCTTTGAAAAATTTTTAAATCTATATTTTTTCTCGCTTTTCCTTAATTCTCGTTCGATTCTTTAAGTTGATCGCGATTCGCGTTTGGTGCACTGTAATCTCTCTCTCTCGCTCTTTATCTTTCGTTCTCGTGCTTCTTTCTGCCGTCGCGTTCTCTGTCTTTCTCTCTCTCGCTCTTTTGGATAATAGTACTCAACGCCATGTGCTCACCCCCCACACGCCCGCCCGTTAACGTTAGCCTGACCGATCTCGCTGTCGCTCTCTCTCTCTCTCTCTCTCTCTCTCTCTGCCTCCCTCGCCTACATGTACACTACTATGCACACCGCGACGACCCTGACCTTGCACCACTTCCGCGTTATCCTAGTGCGCGCACTGCGCTTCGCGTATACCTACTACCAATAGCACATAAGTTGTCGCTCTCTCTCTCTCTCACTCTTTCTCGCTCGCTGGCGCGCTTTTCAGGCCTAAAAAGCTCCCCAGCGTGTATCAATCGACGGTAACTGCAGCGAACACTCGCCGCTGTACCGCACCGAGCTATTACATTGTACTTGTGCTCAAGACGGGGATGCGCATCGTATCAGAGCTGAGCTTGTTGAGATGAGCTAAGAAAGCTGAGATTATTTTGAATTTTTTCAAATTTTATTAATGCTAAGTTTGACCAAGCATTAATGAACAACTTTGGCTTAAATAAGGGTATTTATTCATATAAAAGTTTTGCGCCGCGATTCCTAAATGGTATTTTTGTAAGTAAGTTCATTATTCGATATGTATTATTATTCTAGACGATGGTAAAATATCTTACCAGTTGAAAGAGCTAATAAGCTTTTTCTATTAAGCTCTTTTTATTAAGACTTTTCGATATCTGTATATGAAAGAATATTTTACATCATGCACTGCATTATTTTGATAATATAAGTTTTTCCTTTCAAAGAATTTTCATAAAATCTGAAATAAAAACTTTACTACACATTTTTTTAAATGTTGTGCACTCTTATTACATTCAACTTTATTCAACTCTATTCCAAATCAAATTATAAAATACATACAACACCATACTCAAGTTAGCAAGTTCATTGCATAAAGCACAAGAATAAAAATCACAAATACTTTTGCATTATTTATCATACTTAAAAATGATTTGTAAATTGGCTCCTTCCAATGAAATGAAGAATGTTTAAAAAATATTAGGTTTTCAAATAAATTTTTTCTTTTGTTTGTTGCTTCACAGTTATTAGCAGCCTTACATTATCAAGAGTTGAAGTGCATTACTGGATGAATTTGTATACAAAAAATGATCTTTACTTTCTGTGAAACATCTTTAATGCTAATTGAAGTAAAAGCAATATCTCTTAAATTGATATGTAAAATTAAAGAGACTATCGATTCGCACTTTAAAATAACCAATATTTGTTAACCATTATATATCATATTGTGTACGCGACACAATAATATTATGGGTTATTATAGAGAGCGAATGGACAGTTTCACAATTAAAATAAAATGGTACTAACCGATATCCACCCATTTCTAGCGGTGACTAATGTATACAGTTTATACAAATCAACTTCTTTTCCATCGATTTTAGGAAGTTTCTTAAAAGAAGTCCTGAAACAAATCAAAATAATTTAAATGAACTTATAATTTATAAATAAAAATATCAAATCAAAATTCTGATAATAGTTTTATTTTATTGAAACAGTCATTTCAGTAAAAAATGAAAGAAATAAAAAAACTGACATATAGATAACATTTTTTTAGAAAGTTTGGTATAATAGCTAAGATTCTACCAAAAGTTATTCATGTATACATATATGTATGTATACTATATGGTATATGTATACTACAAATCTATCAAAATAAGTACAAATTAGTATCAAGTGATTTGCAATGTAGCATAATTCAGTATATTAATTATTTTTAACAATGAATTATGTTTCAATCAAGATATCTTTCATTGTGATTCAGATTTTCAAAATTTGACATCAGAATAGATTCAATCTTCAAATTACATTTGATATCCACTATTTCTTTTTTTCAAAATATCTACCGCATAGTATCATCAACGAATAAAAGACTTACCCTCTTGTATCATGGAATCGATGCAAATCCTGAATGAATGCATCCCGGAGTCTATCATTGCTCACAGGATCCTTGCCAGTGGCCATAGCCGCCTGGCTAATTTGTTGCTGAAGTGGAAGGGCCATTATCCTTTTGTGGCTACCTCACGTGAAGTGATATCTTGATCACTCAGCATTTAGTAACAACAATTTAAGCAGCACATCAACACTGAGAAAATAATTCACTAACAACACTAAACACACACATACACGCACTTTTAGTAACGCTATAACTTACTTATTACTACCAACCTCGGTCCAATTTCAACAGTAAAATCCAACGCTTGCGACACCTTGACATTGCACTAATAATCATAATTTAAAATGTACTTTTCATCACAACAAATAGTAAGAATTCCCTTTAGGTCGAAAAACTCGATGGACGTGTACAACACTGCTCGGAAGCTAATGCTGTGGCTATATACACTGAGCATAGAGCAGCAGCTCGGCCGAGAGCGAGAGTGGGGGGTTAGAGCAGAGTAGGTAGGTATTGTAGAACCTCGTTTATTTTCGAGCGGAGGGCGCTCACCTGGCCCCCTTCTCTCTTCGTGGCGAGTTTTTATTTACGATGATGCAGTTTTTATCATCGAGGGTCTCTCGTGGCTGGGTCTGTCGCGCGATAAGAGGCGCGTTAATAGATGCCACGGCTGAGAGCGGAAAAAAAAAGGAAAAAACAAACGTATCTGTACGTATAGGAACGAGAGAAAGAGATGCTCATTCCGGTGTGGCAGCAGCCAGCAGCGCGAGAGTCGTACACAGTACGTAGAGCTGACTGAGCGAGTGCAGCGCCTTTGGAAAGCGAGACGAGGCCACTGCTATGTGCCTCGCGTATACTATTCCCTGCTATCGCATATGTATATAGATATATGTAGATGTAATGTACGAGCGTACACTGTATATATCTATACTAGCTCACGCGATTTCGAACGTTTTGAATCACTGCACCGCACTGGATTGCTAAAGGATTTTGATTTTTTTTTCTAACGAACGATATTCACGTACGTCCACAAGTTTGCCCAAACGTAATTGTCAAGTTGAATAGACGAAAGGTTGGCACGACAATGATGATTGCTCGACGTCGAGTATCGAGAAAACTCAACTTGTCGAGCTGTCCGTGTGCAAGCGCTTACATGTGTGCACTAATATGCACGTATAAACTGTGCGATGACTATACGACAATACGAGATGCTACGCCGAGCAGTACACACAGGATATATGCGTATACATACATATATATGTAAGTAAGGTATATAATAGAGCTGCTTTGAAGCGAGGTTAGGCCCGATGCTTTCGAGCGAGCACGTCGAAAAATGTATCATGAATTGCCTCGGTGAACGAGGGAGGATTGTCACTTTGACGGGTCGAGCTGAGTAGACGGAAATGCGGCTGAGCACTGCTGACAACGATGAATTGTGTATCATGCACTCGAGCTATAACTGCATGGCACTGTGCAGCCTGTAGATGTGTAGGAGCGAGGCGGCTGATGCAGGATTTTTGTTTTTACTAGGCGCGCGCGCGCTGTACGTTGCGATTAACTCGAAAAATATTTCACACGCCGGGAACACAAGCCTCGAAGCGCGAACTCTGAGAGTTGTGATGCACTTTGTACACATATACAAACACAGACACTAAATATATATTCACAGTTATGATGTATATACATGTACATAGAAAGTGATAGAGAGAGAGAGAGAGAAAGATAGACGGACGAGCGCGCGCAACACCTCAAAAAATATATATGTCTTTATACTTGTGTACGTACACACACGTACGTCTACAAGTGAGACACTGCAGGAGCGCGCGGGGGTGTGCAACGAGAGCGGCTCCTTTGATAGTAGGTAGCACTTGGCTGTGCTGCTGCTGCTCCGACTCTCTCTCGAGATATAGGTAGGTGCCTGCGTGAGCAAGCGCCAAGCAGCGAGCAGAGCACACACGCGCGCACACGTATACGGAGTCGCTCGCTCTCTCACGCGCGTTGTTAGGCAGTCGCAACTCGCAGGCAGCACGTAATACTCGTGCCCGATCTCACAGTCACTGTGCGCGGCTGCAATGGGCAACGTCGTCTACGCGCGGCTACCTTTTCGCTCTTCGATCACAATGTTCTCTGCCCGCGAAAACTCGGAGCACTCGGACGCTGGCGGTTCGGTTCTGGCTCTCAGCGCCACACGCACATGCACAATTACAAACTGGCACACCGATAGTCGATTTCACCGCGGTTAGCGACACGCGCACACGTACATAAATGCATCAGCCGCGCAGTCAGCAGTAACGAATTTGCTGCTTCGACTTTATAGCTATATATAACCTAAACACTCCACGACTCTGCGTGTAACGATGAGTCGCTGGGGCATGTACTATGTATTTGCGCGCTTGGCGGGGTGGGTTACTATATCGCCTACTGTATAAGCGCGTCGACTTTACAGCGTGTGCTGCTGCTGTTGCTGCTGCTGCGATAGGTACGGGGGCGCGAATTCGAACGCGGCTCGTGTGGGAAAGAGAGAGAGAGAGAGAGAGAGAGAAGCGCGCGGAGTAGCAGCTCCAACGGCGAGTCTGTATTGGTGTGTGCCTGCGTTAATATGCACTTCACTCGGTCTCGATGTATGTATTCGTTGGGGCGCTACTACACTATCTATCTCGCGGCCCGTCACTCCAACTCGTAGTACAAGATTCGGAGTAGTGGGCACACAACGAGGAACTACGTTCGTACCTCAAAATGGCGCCCGACGTGTCGTCGCGCGCGCAGCAGCTCAACGTAGTTCGCTCGATTGTCGCTCGTGCGAAAGAACGAGACAGACTTATAACCTCTGTATGCATTAGTAGATGCTTTACGGCGTTACTTGCGTGTTATTCTCTATCTCTTTCTCACTCGGGCCGCTACTGCTGTTCCTGCCTCTGAGCTTTGTACAAGTAAGCGCTATGCTACATTGCACACACACACACACACACAAGATGTACTTACGTAGGTAATGTGCATCACTTGCAACGAGCATGATGTTGTGAGAGTGTGAGCGCGTAATAAAGCGCAGCGCACGCTAAATAGGCGCGCGCGGGCCCTCCTGCGTATACTTCGAGACTTCCTTAGATGCGTTTCCCTGTTTACATATACATCGTGCAATGCAATCGCATGCTATACCCTCTACTCGTCGTAAGCGAAAAAGTCACAAGGCAGAGTCGAGCAAGCTATTGTCGAGCGCGACTTAAGCTCCATGTATTTGGACTTTTGTTCGATTCAGTGATTTTTTTTTCATTAATTTTCTTACTAACGAATTGTGCAAACTCACATTTTATTATTATCTCTCATTATTTTACATATCAGCTTTGCTGAACTAATTTGAATGAACTTGCGTTCGAAATTTTCTTTAAGCTCATTTATTTGGTAAAAAATCCCTCTCTTGAACATTTTTGAATATTAAAAAGAATTTTGATATTAATTTATTTATAGAATAAAGTATTTATTTGTTCAATTCTCGAAATGTTTATTATTCGCATCTTCGCATGAGACTATGTTTGAAAATCGAAATAGATGACACTAGCGAACAGTCGTTGCAGACTTGCGGCAACTATCGTATTTGCCGAGCAATTGCTATCGTGTTACCGTTGATACGAGGAAAATCGACATTATCATCGAACGAAAGAAAAAGGAACTTGATTATTGGTTACGAGTAACTGTGCTGTGCTTGTGAATTATAATAACTAACGAAATGCAAAAATATGTCAATTGACGATAATATTTCCAATCAGCTAATAAAAACAATACCAGAGATCAGTGTTTTGGATTTTTTTCTGCAGTTGTCCATTATTTTTTATTATTTTACGTAGAATCCTTGAATGAGTCACATTCGGATGGAAGAATAATTAAATGATTCGACGGTTACTCTCATCAAATATGAAATTGAATCATCAACTCTACAAGAACTCGCGACCAAATATAACTAAAGGCAATTCGCTTGATCAGTTCAGAATTAAAGAGCTGGCAACGCATAGTAATTGTATATCTCTCCGAATCCGAAGGTAAATATGAACGCGGAGCAGACTACGACAACACATGCCCGAGCTTGTGAGCCGTGACATCTCTTACGCTTCATTCAGATTCGAGCGTTTGCCGCATACCCCTCATTCACTAGTGCGTGAATGCAAATTCCTATGCCTATATGATAAGCAAGATGGAATGCGTGGGCGACGTGGAATACATTTTATACATATAGGTATAGCGGTTCGCTCAAAGTCTCCTTCGGAGAAAGGAGTCTGCACAATACATGAGTATATCCTAATATAAGCAAGCGGCCTGCTTATCACACTCTACTAATGCCTCTACCTTTGTCGTATGCCACTGAATACGTATATTTATATGTGTGTGTGCGACCTATACAGTCCCTTCAGAAATTAATTGTAAAAACAGTTCTACCTCTGATTTGTGCAACTGCAGCATTTCAGCTCGGATCTCGCGAGCTCTATTGTGCAACTGTAAATTTTATATATATAGATATATATCTATATATACATAAAGAGAGACGGAGAGAGACAGAGAAAAAGTAGTGAGTGAGCGAGAAAGAAAGAAAACGAAAGAGAGAGAGAGAGAAAGAAACTGAGAGGCAACAACGACGACGAGATGTCATGCACTAGTAGTAGTGTTGGCGATTATTCGACGACGCGGTGAAACTCTATAACGGTTCCTATATTTTTCAGTGGATCTTGGTAAAAGATACAAGCAGAGGCCACGATTGTCATCGAAGGTGCCTTATTGACGCAGCGACGACGATGCTTTCAGGGTAAGCATGAAAACGCATATACGCGTCCGAAAATTAATTGCAAGGAAGTGCGTGCGTGGATAACACGTATCATGTGCATATATATGAGAGAACGATATTAAGACATTGCCAGTGACTCCTTTCATTTTTATTTATTCCTATTTTGCTTCTATTAACTCCAGCTTCTTGTTCTCAAACAAGTAAAGTTTGTTTATTTTCTTGCAAAATGATAAACACACATTCTTTTTTTGTATAAATAATTCTGTTTTCACTTGTGCAAAGGGTACAATTTCAACACAACAAGATTATTAGGCTCATCATGCATAAATAATTATTATTTCTTCAGATGTCAAACTACAACAGAAATTCAAATCAGAGAGCTGCGGTGATTGACTATGATCGACAGTTCCAGGAAGATCTGGAGCGTGCTCAGGCCCTCAGCTTAGAGAGCTTGGCATTAGAAAAATTTCGCATACAAAAACAACAACAACAACTTCAGTCATCCAACAATGGCCATGAACATGATAGCTATAGTAGTCAGTGTACTGTCTCTGTCACTGGTGGTAACAGTTCAGAGAATGATGCACCTGTTAATGATAAGTAAGTAGAACTATCATTTAATGTTAGATTAAAAAAAGTTTTATAAATTTTTATTATAACTCATTTTTTCATTTAAAGTAAATTGCAACTAAGAAGTCGGCCTCGACCTGGTAGTAATTCAAATCAGTCAAGAAATGCAATGATTGTACAGCTGCAGCCACCTCCAATTCCAACACGTAGAAACTCATCAAATCAGGCTCAATCAGCTGATTTAATTAATTTTACCAGTCCTGTTAAGCAAGATAGTTTGACAGAGTATTGTACGGCTCCACCACCATTGCCTTTGTATGTAATTATTTAAATTAGTATGTAAAATATTGTTCATTGAAACAATATAACTTGTGCATTATACTATATAGAAAAACAAAAGTTGAGCCAAAGTGGGAGACTCATCCTGCACTATTGAGGAAAAATTCAAGAGTTTCACGAAGTAACAGCTCAGCAGCTGCATATCAAGACTTTAGGTATAATAATGCGCCACCTTTACCTGGACCAAAATGTTCTACTGCACCATGTACACCAGGTACTCCAGTTGCAGGATCAATTATGTCAAGAGTAGTTAGTAATATACCAGATATCATTCCACAGGTAAATGTTAATAATTTATTATCACAACACATAAATGGTATAAAAGCCATACTTTTTGAACTTTTATGGACTAATTTAATCAATTTTAATTATATGCACCCAAAGCTGTACTATAACATTATTACACTTGAAGAAGTTTTTTATGACTTATGTAATCGAAAGACCATACCAAATTGTATTAAAGATATTTTTCTAATTTTAATATTTAGGATTATGTTATAAATAGGGTGCACATAATTTCATTGATCAATACAAGAAAAGAAGTTATATTTAATATAACTTTTCTAAATTAACCTTCTAAACTTTTTAAAATATATAAATTACTTTTTTTTTAATGAGCAATTGTGTGATCATTAATTTTTTAAAAGAAATTTAAAAAATCTATACAATTTTATACAATTTTACTTTTCTATTCCAGCCTACCTGGAATCCATACATGTTTAGAACTTATATTCTTCAGGTATCAAATTAGTTGCCTTGTGTTATTATGAAGTTCATAAAAGCTAGTTTTACATAGTTTTAAATTTGTTTATAAACCAAATATTTTTCATGCTTATGAAATACTCACCTTTAGTTTCAAGTTTAATTTTATGTTTCATCTTGTCAAAAGAATATTTACAAAATAGCTGATGAAACAGTTGTAATATAAATTGTGATATGTTCATATTCATGTATTGATTTGCTTGTCTCCACATAACACTATCTCACCAGAAGTGATATTTTATTCGGAAACAAGATTACATGAGGGTTGAAATCTGCTTAAAAATCGTAACGTTATTGGTATAAGCTTGCATAACATAAACAACTTTTGGATGATGCAAATATTGCAATTAGGTCCGACACTACATAAAATAAACATACAGTCTCATTCAGATACGTGCATCATAAAATAGATTTAAATAATATATACCATTACAATAATCGTTTCATTGATTGACCTTTTTTAACAGTAGACCTTATATTAAGAAATCGGCGTTATTTATGCGACGTGAAAAAAAATACATTTTCAGATACCGCCTTTGCCAACAGCCTACCGTCCAGCAATTACAGCAGGATCAGCATCGGCAGCAGTAGCAGCAGTTCCGTCAGTAACAGCCACCACTCCAGTATTGAGTAACAACGCAGTACCTGCACTAACGTATGGACCGCAACAGACGGACGACAATAATCAATTATCAGTTCTCAAGGTCATTGAAAAAAAAGCAAATAGTAATCTGATTGACTTGACCGCGTTCGAACACTTGGAAGATCGGACTAATGTCAGAGTAAGCGTGCTCGAGGCATTCGATCCACTCTTGGAAAGAAGCGAGGAAAGTGATTACGCTTGTTTGAAAGGATGTAATGATGGTAAGTTATTCTTTGTATCTTTTTCCGTTATTTTTTCCTAATTAAATTTATTGTATTCATAAGTATAATTATGGTACGCGGAAATACACGTAAATAAGTTCTCGAATGCATATTACGCATCAACTGGCATTGTATAAGATGAGATTTTCTTTAGATAATTGATTTCGTTTTATGCGCAAGCTCTGCTTTTCTCTTATCTTATTGTACTTAAAAATCAGAATGATTTTTTCGTTTTCCTAAATTTAAGAATCTAAGCCCGTCCTCATTTAAAAAAAATCTTATCGTGAAATAAAAATGTTAGTATACTTTATCATTGGAAAAAAAAATTATCATTTAATTTCATTTTAAATGCGCAAGGCCTCTTTGAATTTGTACTATTCAGATGTGTTTGTATAGTATTAAGAAATACTTTCTAATATTTAATTATGCCACGTCTGAGTTCATTTAAATCATTATGGACAATGTGTTATTTCACATACGACTATAATCAAGATTTCTTGCATTCAGATTCGCGGATGGAGGGATCTGTGTACGATCCGTTCGATCCGTTTGACTATATGTACAGCACGAGCGAGACGGTTAATTCGGATCCGGTTTATGCGGCGGTCGACAAATCGGCGAAATCGCCAGCCGCGTCACCGGCGGCGCCGCCGCCGCTGCCACCAAGGAATTCATCCGCTTGGAACACGATTGAAAGAAGGAAAACCTCTTTGGATAGACGAGTGAGTTTTGCATTAAGTAATACTTTTTTTGACGTTATTATTCTTCAATTTTCAGGCAATTAATTTTTTTTTACATTATAGCAAAAGCGACAAACACGTTTGTACGAAAATGTTCAAGTGACAAAAACGAGAGCTTCACTTCACGATCCGGATCTTCTGGCTTTTCACAAAATGGTCAAATCTGTTAGAGGTTTGTACCCACTTATTGGATGTTTTTGAAACAGGCACAAAAAAGACGTTTATTATTAATCTAACTGTTTTACATTATAAGGTGAATTTCCATTCAATGATCCAAGCACCAACATAGGTCACATTGTAAGCACTATTATGGAGAGCACTTATCCAGAAAACACAAGTGTCAAGTTGATAGTACATCCTAAAATGCTGAAAAATTCAGTAGATACTGTACAATCTATATCTTTCACTTGTGATGGTAAGTGATTCCTCAACATATGAGTAATCTATTATACATTCAAAATTGCATTACATTTTTGTGTTTTTCAGTAACTTGCAGCGTAGAACATGTAATATTGAATGTGGCTTGTTCTTTGGAAGATGAAAATACAGTGAATGCAGATCAATTTTGTTTACGAGTTTGGGGTCTGGCCGAGTACTTAGCTCCAAATACAATACTCTCACAATACGAATACGTTCATCAATGCATTAAATTAGAAAAAGACATTGAATTTGCGATAGAAACCAAAGTACAAATGAAGAAATCAATCGCTAGAACAGTCAGTATATTATTGCATTTTTTTCCTAAAGACAAAATATTTAGCAACTATAATTTTTTTAGTTGCAAGATGACAATCGGGATCAGTGCCTAAAGCTGGAAGATTTACTACCGCAAGAACCAGCACAACCCATTTCTTACGATACGTTACTTATTTTATTGGGTAAAGTAAAACTGATTTATTGATCAAACAATTAGAATTATTATTTGAAAACTAATTTTATATTTATTTAATTGTTAGAAACCGTAGAAAAAGAAATGGAGCGCGTCGAAACCACGGCGAGTCAATTAGCCACAGCGAGTCATGGTTCGGGTCTTCTTACACAGCTCCAACCTCGGGGGGTAGTCCAAGCGGTAAAAGCCGTTTGCGCATTAATGGGCAGTGTGGAAACTTACGAGATTACTGAAGCTGTGGATAATTTTGTTAACGCATGCTGCAAGTTTCTTCCGCAGGTTCATGCATCGAAAATTGAATGCAAGAAGCCTGAGATTTTAGACGAAGACGGTGATTACTCGGTTGTTACGCTCAGGACGAAATTTCCAGACGTCATTTCGTCCCATTGTAATAAGATAAGGGATGCTGTACAAGATCTCGTTGAGACTTATTGTCATGCTTTTAGAGTCGATTTTCAAATAAGCAGTCGGGGCGATTATCCAACGAGTAAGTGGCGAGGATCTACAAATCATTAACTTTTATGCAGATTAAATAATGTTTGATTAAATAAATTATAGATAGCTTAGTATCATCACAAGTGATAGATACAGTTTTGGTGCGTGTTGGTGCAATACACAGAATTCCTGCGTCTTGGAAGCACGATGACTACATTGTTGCAGCACAAATTTTTCACGGTACTAGACCTGTGGGTAATCCTGTGTTGTCGGAGCCCATGACTACTTCAAACTCAAACTTTTATCCGAAAATTTTATTCAATTCTTGGTAATAAAACTCTAGAAACACTTGGAAGAAATAAAATTTTATATTAAAAATTGAACAAATTTTTTATAGGCTTGAATTTCGTGGTACAAGTGTGTGTCAAGTACCTCGAGAAGCCCGTTTAGTACTTGTGGTTTATGGTCGTACTGTGCAACCGGAAGAACACGAATCTAATGCCTCGTGCTCAATGGAAAAAGAGGAACTTGGATGGGGTGCAATGCAATTTTTCGATTTTGACGGGTATTAATAAAAATTTTCTCCAAGATTCATTAACACCTATATTAATGCAACTTTTTATTTAGTGTTATGAGTCAAGGCAGTTTCTTTTTATCGTTATGGCCAGCTGCCGCGGATAAGCGTTTGGGTCCAGCACCTGCGCCAGGTATCCATCCTCACGGTGATACACATCCTATTATTAGTTTAGAATTACCTGACTACGGTGGTAAAGTAATGTTTCCTTTGGAATTGAGAGATCACGACATCGAAACTTTAGATTTTAGATCTTTAGATCAAAATACTCAAGAGTTGTTATCTTACATCACAGAACAAGACACGTTTTCTAGGTACTTAATTATTTGTGCGTTAATTTTTAAATAAATAATAGAGTATGTTTAAATATAAATTCCAACATGTGTATAGACCACCAATAGAAGAAAGAGAAATATTATGGGAAAAAAGACATTATTTACATGAGAAGCCAGAGGCTTTACCAAAAGTACTTTTAGCTGCTCACAGCTGGGACTGGGCATGCTTACCGGATTTACATGCTTCGTTGCGTGTTTGGACTCCTTTACCGCCTGTTCAAGCATTGCAATTACTCTTGCCCTGTTTCCCCGATATGCAAGTTAGAGAAATGGCAGTTAGTAGAATAAAGGAATTAAGCAATGACGAGCTTGTCGATTATTTACCTCAGTTGCTTCAAGCTCTGAAACATGAAACTTATGAGGCATCTCCATTAGCAAAATTTTTGCTAGAAAGAGCCTTAGTATCGCCAAGAGTTGCCCACCACATTTATTGGTTGCTAAACCAAGCTTTACCCGGGCACAATCCTCAAGTAAATTATTTTTTCATAAAATTTGTTTGTCTCTTAATTTTACTGATTTGAATGATTAGCAGATCTGCTCTTTTTTCACAGAATACTCCCGAATCGTCTTCTCAAGATGATAAGAGTTTAAGTTTAGCAAGATATCATCGACGATTACAATTAATGCTACGTGCTCTATTAGCTGTAATAGGGGATGCTTTACGTAATAGTTTTTTAGCTCAACAATTCCTTGTAAAGGTAAATACATTGTACCACATCAATCGATTTTTATTCTAATATGAATATGCAATCAAAAAAATAATGATATAATATTTTAAAGAATTTACACGAAGTAGCTGAGAACATTAAAACTATTAAAGAATCTCTACGGCTGGAAGCGCTGAAACTGGGTTTACAAAATATTCACTCTCAACTTATAGAAGAAGAAGGAACTTGCTTACCTTTGTCACCGAGTCGACAAGTAGTTGGAATCAATATTCAAACTTGCTCATATTTCCCATCGTTCACTTTACCTCTTAAAATCAACTTTATTGGTTGTGATAAAGACATTAGTCCAGCAATTTTTAAGGTTTTTATCATCAAAGTCTTGAATGATAAAGTAATTTTAATTTAATTATCATAAAAAATATTTTGCAGGTTGGCGACGATTTGCAGCAGGATATGCTCACTATTCAGATGGTTCGTATAATGGATAAGCTCTGGTTAAAAGAAGGCCTCGACTTGAAAATGGTCACCTTTGCCTGCGTACCGACAGGTTACAAACGCGGCATGATCGAAATGGTAACCAATGCTGAGACACTTCGAAAAATTCAAGTTGAATTTGGACTTACCGGTTCGTTCAAAGATCGGCCTATTGCCGAATGGCTAGCCAAACACAATCCGTCCGAGCTCGAATATGAACGAGCGGTAGAGAATTTCACTGCGTCGTGTGCTGGCTACAGTGTAGTCACATACATTTTAGGTATCTGTGATAGGCACAATGACAATATTATGCTCAAAACCTCTGGACATTTGTTTCATATCGATTTCGGCAAGTTTTTGGGAGACGCTCAAATGTTTGGTAACTTTAAAAGGTAGTCAAAATTTATACATTTTCGCGGTTTATTCAGCTAGTGTTTGTAATATATCTTAATCATTTTTTTAGAGACCGGACTCCCTTTGTGCTAACATCGGATATGGCTTATGTAATCAACGGCGGAGATAAACCTTCAGCCAAATTTCATAATTTCGTCGAACTCTGCTGCCAAGCCTTTAATATTGTCAGAAAGCACGGAAACTTGATCCTTCATTTATTTGGCTTGGTAAGTGTCGATTACAATCAAGCACTAAATGTGATTTCCCAGCTTATTTCACTCATGATATCGCGGAGAAAAAATCCCTACAAACAAGAAGTATCTAAAAACGGAAATAAATAGATTAATTTACTATCAATGTTTTTTTATCTCCCACGGATACAGCATATCACAGGCGACTGTGAATGTTTGTTTTCATTCTCTATGCAACATCATTCTCGCTTGAGTCAGTCTTTCAAATTCAAAGTTGCAGAAATTAAGTTTAATTATTACACAGAAACATTAGTATTATATAAAATGTCGATACAATCAGAAAAACCGCACTTTCGCGGATGTATGAATAATTATCAAACGAACGACGATTCGCAGATGACATCGTCGGGTATCGGTGGTGTTACCATGGACGCAGTTAGTTACGTCCAGAAGGCACTGCTGCCGGGACAAACGAATCCGGAGGCTGCGGCAACTTTTGCTCGAATGATCGAGTCGTCGCTAAAGAGTTGGTTCACGCAGTTCAACTTTTTCTTACACAATTTAGCTCAGTTGAGATTCAGTGGTGATCATAGCGAGGGAGAGTTATTGTCCTTCATTCCCCGCACTTACACGTGAGTGAATAAAAATGATAACACTGAAGTAGTCTTTCATTTTAGAATTTATTTTTGAATATCGTTCAACTTCGAACATACAGAAATTAAATTGATCGATAAAAATACTTTTTTCTTTGTAAAAAGTTAATTCTAATTTTAAATGAAATACCTTTTTTTCTAGAATGCAACAAGAAGGTCAGTTAACTCAAGTTCAAGTTCACGGTTACCAAAAGAGATACGATCCAGAAAAGTATTACATGTACATATTGAAAATACAGCGTAAAGGCCAAACCGATCCCACCTATCTCTTCAGATCGTATAAAGAATTCTGTGAATTCTATCAAAAGCTGTGCATTCATTTTCCTTTAGCCAAAGTGGCCAGGTATGTTAGCCTTGTGTATATATACTTTAATAATAATAATAATAATAGTAATAATAATAATAATAATAATAACAATAATAATAATAATAATAATAATAATATAAATGTTACTTTTCTCGTGATTGTTTGCTCAAGTGTTATCGATTTTGATACAACTAATTTGTCGTGCGATTAGCTTTTGGCAACATTTTGCGAGCATGCATACAAGTTTCGATTAATTATTTAGTTTAATTATATAATCGTACTTACTACCTGTGCAATTTAATCTTTTCCTATCATTACTATTGGTCTCGAGTGAATTTTATAATTTTCGTTATTAGAAAAGGCATAAAAAAGTTTTGATTTTATTGATCAATTGACTGTGCTCAATATCACGTTTAGCGCATCAATCGCTGTGAAGACCGATAAATATATCTGTGAAATTGTCTAAAAACGTCACTTCTCCTTGTATTCTTCGATCACGCTGTCGTTTGCTTGTTTTATCTCGTCTTCGTCGTTGTTATCCTTGCTATCTACCAGTGACAAATTATTCTTTGCACCATTACTACCGTTCACGGGTATGGTCGACGCTGACGCCACGCTATCGCTCTCTTCATCGAGCTGTTGTACCGTTTTTTTTCCATTTATGGGATTAACACGGTCCCAGTAGCTTAGATTTTCAAAACTTCGATAAAATCCTTGTGATTGAGATGTGAATTTTGTGCTTTTATCCACATTAAAACTTTCCTTGCCACATGATAGGCCCATTTTCAATTGTGAGAGCTTTGAACATAAAAATCTCAATTTGAAAATCTTCAAATTTTCACATCTAACGAATTTTGATAAATAAATGATAACCAAAAAGTAGAAATAAAATTTTAATTATTTTTCATAAAAAACTATTTATAATTTAAAAACTTGTTAAATCAAATATTTCTATTGAGGTAATTTTTCTTAGAAAGCCTCGTATTCTACACTGTTTACTTTGTAGGCACATATAGATAATTTGAATGCGTCATGCGGTATTAATTTCATACATTTCGATATGCTGAACTCTTTGTCGCGTACTTACTATTATTTTATTGCAAACATCATAGATATTTTATGCTTGGTTTTCACGAACAAATTTTACTCAGTCAAAATTTGCTACTTTCAATCCTTAATTTCAAATTTTTAGTTAATTTCTGGCAGTTTAATTTATTATTAAATGAAAACGCAATAGAACTAAGTGTGCGTGTTTTTGGCTTCTCAAAATTTTATAAAATTGTCTACAATTTATTTTCAATTTTTAATAACAACATTATAATTTATGCGTACATGCCTTCTAAAACACACTCTGCCACGAAATCCTTATATATTCTTTAATGCGTCCATCAAATTTACGTTTGAAGCATAAACTGTTCACTCAATACAGTCATTCTTCTATTTGGTAACTTTTTTAACAACTAAATGATAAACACAGGCTACTTTCAATGCAGGTCCCCTTTTGACTGGTAATTTGTATAGTACCTCCATAACGTCTTATAATTTCTTTTTATCTAATCTGATAAAATGTATCTTATCAAGTATATATACGTAGGGGAAGTGAGAACTCATTTCAATTGTTATGAACAAATATCAATGAATAATTTTAATTATGCACGCCACAATTCTTGTTCACTGAGTAAAATGTTATATCCGATTTTTACTTTGCAGTTTATCCAGTGGTATGAGCGTTGGCAGATCAAACATTAAGCAAGTTGCGGAAAAGAGACGAGTGGACATCGAAAAGTTTCTCGTCAGTTTATTTAAAATGGCACCGGAAATTTCTCAAAGCGATCTGGTGTACACATTTTTCCATCCACTCTTGAGAGATCAACAAAATGCTGATATACATCTGAGAAAAGTTAAAGGTATATATTGTGCATGTATTTGTAGAAATATACATGCATACCCGATTACAATGATCTACGATATTTAAATATATTTTTTACACGAAAGATATAATAATATGAATATAATTTAAAATTGTAGTAGGAAATTGGTGGGCAGAGAAAAAGTTGCGTGAAAATGTACAGGCTGGCCAAATCAAATTGTCTCTCCATTATACTCGGGGTACTCTCAGTGTCATGGTGTACCACGCCCGGGGATTGCCCAAGGTGGCCAATGGTCAGGAGCCAAATACATATGTCAAAGTTTACCTCAAACCAGATCCGACTAAGGTGACAAAAAGAAAAACTAAAGTTGTGAAAAAAAATTGTCATCCCTCTTTTATGGAATCAGTAAGTTTTAACACAGTAAATATTTTAATCTTTTTTTAGAGATGATTATTGATAACGTGAATTTTTTCTGTTAAAGTTGGAGTATCGTATGCCCATAGACGTCATTAAGGATAGAACGTTAGAAGCGACGATATGGAATCACGACACGCTCCAAGAGAATGAATTTTTAGGGGGAATTCGTCTGCCACTTGCTAAAATAAATTTAGCCCATGAAATCGTTGAATGGTTTCCACTTAATGGTGTCTAATGCATAATGGCATGATTAAGGCGATATTCACTTTTTAACCCAAATGACTCGTTTTTTTTATACAAGGCTGTGGTAAAATGTTTCGTAAATGACTAAATTTCTCTTTATGATGAATGAACTATTGTGCACAAATAATAAAACATTTAAAGAACATAATTACCAGCGCCGGAGAAATAATTTAAAATCATCGTAATTGTAGATTTGGAAAATGATGTTTTATATACTCAACTCATGACCCTCAATACACGCGATTTATACTTTAATATATGTATTAAGTAACACTAGCGAATGCAGTATACAGATGAATGAGATGTGAGAATGAAGAAAAAATTAGACTTGTTGCTTGTGATAACGGTTTTTAAACAGTTCATTGGAAGGTACATTATAATATTTTATCATGTACATCGGAGATGCTTCAATTTTTTAATGAGTCGTTTTATTATTGGGTTTTTGTCAATAATGAATTGTACATAAATTTTTATATCATGAATGGATTTTTCACCGCTGTTAGGCGAATCTTAATGATTATGCGTTTCAAAAATCGCGACGTTTTTCTCTCAGATTCATATTACAGCTTATACACAAATGAATAATGTCCAAAAGTATACACGCCATGATACCAAAATATTATCATAATTTTTATTAATATAGCTTTAATTGAAATAAAAAATCTGTGTATTATCAAAATTATACGTGAATTATATATTATATTTATTTATATAATTTATTCATATTGTTCGAAGTCTTATTTTTTCAGTTCCCAAACAATAATAATAATTAATATAAAATATAAGTTATAATTAGGTGTAATTTTGGCAAGAGCAGCTTCATTTTTTGATCTTTGATTGTAAATATTACTTTTAAAGTACCATAATTTATAGAGGAGGGTTTTTAATTTTTTTCTGGTATTGATAATTAAACTTTACCGATAGATATTTTTATTTTAACAATTACTTTGTGATTTCAAAATGATCAAGATTTCATTAAACTTTCAACGTTGCTTAATAATCTATTATTGTATCGAGATACTAGACTCATTGAGATGGAAATTGCAGACGTTTCCGGAAACTGGGCAGCATTGTCTCAGTGATCGAAGCCGGAAACACGTTCCAACCTACCGTATTTCGATCTGTTGCCGTATAAAAGAACATTCTCAAAGTTGACAACGATTTTGCTCGTTGCTAAAATGTCAATCGAAGCGTGTCTAAGCAGCCCCAGCGGCGCACAGCGAGTATGTCCAGTAGCAGTCTAGGCACAAAACTCGATTTGCGAGCTCGAAAAAATGCTAATAATGCTTCAGAACACCTGTAGAAATATTTAGCAGAACATAAGAATAATTCAAAGATTATATGAGGGAAATATTTTGAAGGAGCGTCATCGAGTTAATACCTTTTCTTGCTCCTTTTTTACACGATTGCAAAAACTTATGGGATTTACCAGCGTTGGGTAAAAAAGCCTTTGTTCGACTCTAGAGAGAATACTTTTTGCCTCCGAGTTGAGTGAGCGATGCTACTGACAGACAATTGTTTGAAGGTATTATGAACACTGAGCAGCTATATCGGTACTTTTTTGGCGCGTGGGCGTAATTTTGAAACGAGCCCTTTTGCAGGAACCCATGGATATTTGTATATTTGGTTTACGCGAACGAAGCGAATGTCGCGACGTACAAAACGTTTTGTACTTGCCAGAAAATAGACACTCAACCCTTTGTAGCAGGTGTCTGCGCGGCTACGCTCGAGACTTATTTTGAGAATTTTGTCTCGCTCGAGAAAGTAAGAGTATACTTGTTCTCCTGACTTATAAGCTGAATCAAAATCGTGGTTGAAAAAGCGGAATTGTGCGTGCTTTAAGATGATCAAGCGTTGGAGAGTCAGGGCGAATCTCTTAATGGCTATCTGCCACATAACTGCTCGATGCGCGTCTATAATATCTGTACGTACTTTTCCAAAAATCTAACGCGATGCAATTTTTTCTGGTCCGCGCAGCCACAGTTGGAGTCCGTGTGCATGGGAAAGGCGTGTGGAAAAAGGGACTGAATTATTGCGCGCACATAGCGACTTCTTCCGCTTTGATACATTTGTACGTATTGCGGGTAAAGTCGAATAATAATGCACTGACTGGAACTCACGTCGAATGACCGATTAGAGCGACGTTGCATAATGCGCGCCTGTGTTTGTGTACAAATGCAAGGGTGGCGAATCAACATAACAGATGCCTCGCTCTTTCACAAAAAATGTTCTCTCTCGTTATGTAGCTCTATTTTTCTCTTTCTTTCGCAGTCGCGTACACAAGTTTTAGCTTGTGTGAAAAAAACGTCAAAATTTTGGTCGCTCCATTTGAATTTTTGCTTCGCACCTGGTCGCTTTCCGATCCAAAAGTCCCAGCATACCCATAGCTACATTATACGTACGCAAGATTACGTACGTACGAGCGTAAAACGTAAAATGCGCGGAGGGAGAGAAAGATCAGGTTGGACTCTTCGCTTGGACCTTCATTGTGCATATCGGACTTTTCGCCCCTTTTGTAAATTTCATAAATACATGCGCCTTCGTATGTGCGTAAGAGAGAAGCACTTTTCCCCCTTGCACTTATGGTCACAGGCGTTAAAGAGAGTTTGGAAAAGGGACACTTTTTCGAAAATCGAGCCGCGTCTCATACATATACACGAACAAATATGAACTGTTGTGCAACGCTCGGACTCTGCGGAGGAAAAAGAGCGAGCGAGAAAAAAATTATCCATCATTTGAATAGAATCCCCTTCGTGCACGTAACGATCGATTTTGATTTCTTCCACTGGGTTAGGGTAATTTTATGTGCATGTACAGCTCAAACCGAGGCTTTTAATAAATAATATCAAAGTCCGTTTCTAAGTACATATACCCTTATAATATATATGTTGAGTTTGCGTCAAACGGTCCAGTATCGAATAGTCCCGGACGTTGCCATTATTATTGCCTTGGGATAATTAATATACCCATTGTAATTCGTACTCTTTGTACGTGCATCTATCAGAAGAAAAGAAAAATCTTATTAAACTAGTTGAAATTTTTAATCGTTTCTGCAGCTCAAATATGAGCCGCAAATTGACTTGTGTGTTTAGCATTTACGCAAATTTATCAGTCAGAATCGCAGTCGTAGTTGAATTAAACAGCAACGAGGATAAAAAGAAAAATAAATCGAAGAGAAAAAAAAGCGAAATTCAAGTGGCACGCGCGCAAATTGAATAAGGAGCCGCGCGTCAATCGCGTTAATTGCGCGAGTCGAGATCGTTGCCCGTTGTTCTTTATGTATATGTCAGCTGGTGAAATTGATGTAGCCGAAGAGGAAAAAAGCGCGTAACAAAGTTTAATTTAAACAACGTTATCTCTGCTTATAGCTCGAGAGATAGCTCGCAGAAGCACCTTTGCGATGGTGGTGTCAGCGAGGGATTGAAATTTTATAATTACTTTCACCGGAGGATAATATAATTTTGTTTTTTTTCTTTTTGTTTTCCTTAAGGTGGGATTATTAATCCCCGCGCGCTCGTATAAAAGAGTACACTCTGCATCATCCCTTTTTCTTCCGTCGTGGCACGCGAGCTTTGCTTCGTACGCCTGCCTCCTTCTTATATTCCTTCTTCGTTATAAGATAGGGCGAGGAAAAAAAGTTGTTGCTAGCTACTTCTCTCGAGATTCATTAAGGTGCCGCGAAGGAGATGGTAAATAATGCGGTCGTAAGAGAGGGAGATCTCGTTCAAGAGATTCTTACGGCGGAAAAGCTCGCGAGTTATATACGCAGCAGTCCCGCACCAAGCATGGAGTTTTTAATCGAATTTCTCGAGCTTTATTGTTTACTTTTATTATTCGCTGGATGATCGGTGGCTCGCAAGCTCGATCGAGTCTGCTACTCGCGCGCACGCTTGCCTAGCGGCCGTAAAGTTCGATAGATCGTCTTTTTTTACCTGGTCACAACTATACGTTGAAGTTTTTAGCGACAAAATACTAGGTACGAGGGTAATGCTCGCTAACTCAACACACATGTGTAACACCGAGAGGATATAGCCTCACCGATTGGCGAGCATCGAAAAGCAAAAAAAAAAGAAAGGCGATACAGATCCGGCGATCGAGTCACCCTATACACTACAGGCAGCAAGCTTAGCTCTCGTGTTATGTATAGTCTTTAGCTAATGGAAGGCGTATAGTGGTGTGCAACGATGACAGGCATCGATTGTTCGAGTCGCGAATGATATTCCGCTCGTCGCAATCTCGCTGCCCACATGTACTCCGTTATACATCGCCCAGCTGTAGGCATAATGATCTACCCTGTACGACGACGAATATATTTGCGCCGCGATCGCCTTCTCGATCCCGTACATACAGCGCTAAAATGAAGGATCAAAATGTGCACTCCGAGTGCGTGCTCATCTTATGTGCACGAGTGTAAATGACACGCAAAGTAAACCTCTGCACCAATAACTGTTACCGAAGCTTTGATCAACCCTTTTTTTTGTCTCATCGTGGCACACTTCATTTGTTTAGGTTTACACGTTAATAATGATCCCGAGAGCGGTGTGCTCGCGAAGCCCTGGAAACCTTGGAAGATGTCGATTAAATCGTGCCACACACGCCACCTTGCCTCATGCTGCCGGCTTGCCGAGAAACCTATTACAGGAATATCGAACGCGTTGGAAATTTAACGCCTCGCTCAAATTGAAATTTTTCTCGTAAAATAGTGATTTCCGAGTCTTCTTTCCGAATACTCTTGGCGATTGATAGATTTTTTTCTTTTTTTGCCGATACGATGCCGCACGTTCATCGAAAAACTGACTATTAAGCTCGAGCCATGCACGTGTGCTACCTCCGTGTTTAAAAGATGTTCGACGTACTACGAGTGATATATATATATATATATTGTGTGTGTATTTTGTATCGTCCAGTGAAACACGAGACAAATGGTAACAATGGCCAGAGTGATCCTTTTAAAATCGCATTTGCAATTGTAAACGATACATAGACGGGTACACGAAGCTCGGGTAAGTTAAGGCACGGCTCTTCGGAGCTCGATGCTCTGGTCCAGAGATCAATCATACTCAAATTAATTTTCAATTACACTTTTTCAAAGGGAAATAGTTTCGCACAATGAGATGTTAGCGCTACAGTTTTTGCATCCTTCTTACAATTACTGGCGCACACTGGCAAGTATAAAAGGTACACGAAACCGGACTTGGAGAGGACGAAAGGAAATCGTTTCTGCTTCACAAAAGGCGTTTCTTTTACATCGTGTTTTTACAATTGCCATGCCAGTTTCACCTTTACTACTTACCGTACTAGTGCTGCCTTATAAATGTGTGCGCATCTTCTTCCTTTGGGCTCGCGGCATTGTGGCCTCGAAACTTTGCTTATATTAAAAATAAACACGCAGCGGCCTACTTGGACGATTAATCTGCACAAGCTTGAGCCAGTTGCAAAAAGAATCGTAAATGGCTAAAAGGACGTTTATAAGCGTCCAATCCATGATCGATGAATTTTTCAACGATCCGAGGAAATTTCAAGATATCGTTACTGTATACTATAGCTAAAAAGCATCATCGCTCATCGTTTCGTGGCAGCGATCGCCATAGACACTCCTCTGCAAAGAAAACGAAATCGCGCATCCCTTTGTCAACTCGTCTAATCGGCTGCACGACAACACTTGTATACATTACACATGTA